AAATTAATCTCTCTCTCTTTTAACACATTTTTTGCAAAGTGGTTGTTTTTTTTTTACTTGACAAGAGAGCAATATTTTCTTTTAATTTTTTATTTCTTTCTTCCTTTACATTCTATTTTATGGAAAATGTAAGCCAAACGGTTGGTGGCTGTTAAAAAAAACTCTTGAAAGAGAGAAAGAATGAGGAGAAATTAAAAGAGCCTATAACGAAACGGTTATTTATACAGATTTGTGTGTTTGTATAAGTGTTAAAAAAAAGCCGAAATAATAACAAAAAAAAGCAGTGCAAAAAAGAAATATGAAAGAAATCTATCTGCTGCTAATTTCATTATTTTTAAACAATTAAAACAAATTCATTGTTGTCTGCTTCTTTATATTGTTGTTTTTATTATTGTTTGAAATTCCTAATAAAATTCTTTTACGTTTATATCATGTTTTAATGTTGTAGCACAAAAACACTATGACGGCAAAATAACCTCAATTTACTTAACTTACACCTCCCAACCCTGCCCTTTAACTTAACAACAATTAACAGAGAAGCCAAAGAAAGTAGCAAGAAAAAAAAAATAGTAGTAGTCAACTGTTAAATCACTCAAAAGTAGTGCCAACGTGTTTCATTGTAATTTTATTAACAGGGGAAACAAAGATAATCGCCAAAATCTCCTAAAATTAATGTAATTAAGCCCAATAAAGTGCAAAGTTTTACAGCAAATAAAGAAAAATAATATATTTATATGTAAACATGTAAAATTTAAGTAATAACTAAGAAATATTTCAGGAAATTAATTTCAAATAATAAAAGTTTGGAAAAAAATCTTTAAAAATAAGTTAGGGTTTTGATTTTTTAAGGAAATGTTTAACAAAAATTCCATTTTCAGTTCATTTAACAAATTGAAAGTATTTTTTTTAAGTAAAACTTTAAAAATGTATAAAAAAGTTTCAGTTTTCTTTGAATTTATTAAACAATTACTTTTTTTTTTAATTCAAATAGTTAAAATAAACATAAATTTGTATAAAAAATTTTTGAAATAAACCTATGAAATGAAATTTTTTTAATTAAAGTGAAATTTAACCAAAATATTAAAAAAACTAATCTACTAATTTAAAAGCAAAATGATGAAAAGAAAAATTAATTATTTAATTAACTCTTAAATTTTTGAAATATTTTTAAAACATTTTTGAAAATTTTACACATTTTTTCCAAAAATTTTTATAAAACATTGAAAAGATTGCAAAAATAATTGAAAACTTTAATCTTTAACTATTCAAATTATTTTAGAACATCAGCACTAAAAATTTTTGAATATAATAATAAAATATTTTAGAAAATTTTAAAAAATTTTTTAAGAAATTTTCATTAATCTTTGAAAAAAATGCAAAATTTTAAAAAATTTATACAAACTGCTAAAAATTTTTAGAATTTAGAAATTTTTATAAATCTTTAAGAAAAACTGGAAAAAGTTTTTAAATTTTAATGCTAATTTTAAAATTTTGCAAGAAATTTGTTACAAAAATCTTTTAAAAATTGCAACATTTGTATACAAACCATTAAAAATTTTAAGAAATATAAATCTTTATAAATCTTTAGAAAAAATCTTAAACAAATTTCAAATTTGTAAACAAATTTTAATGTTTTCTAAGAAATTTATTACAAATAAACGCCTTTTTAAATTTTTTGAAAATTATTAATTTTTCTCAAAATTAAAAATTTTTAATAATTAAGTTATAATTCAAATAAAGTTTAATATAAATTTCAGTCATTTTACTATATATATATATATATATATATATATATATATATATATATATATATATATATATATATATATATATATTTTTTTTTTTTTTTTTTTTTTTTTTTTTGAAAAAGCAATACTCAATAATTATAAAAATGTTTTAATATATTTCTTTATTATTCTTTTATAAATAAAATATGTGTATTTAAAATAAAATCCTAATATTACAAATTTTTGATACTAAAGAAACAAATTAAACTTGAATTATTGAAATCTTTTCAGTTTTATAAAAATTTTTGATTTTTTTTTCAATTTTTCTTTTTTTCATAGAAGAAAATTATTAAAATTATATTAAACCAACAAAGTCTATTCTAGAGAATTGTAGAAATTAAAAATATAGGTATTCCAAATATGTATAAGAACTTTTTTTATTAATCAGCTTACTAATTAAAACAAACCACAATCGTTAACCAAGAATTTATAATATTTTTACAATTCTTGAAAAAAAAAAAAAAAAATTTCTAAAATAATTTCAAACAAAATAAAAACCTTGGTGGTTTTTAACCATAATTTTATATATATTTTTTTAAACTTAATTAATTTAAAGATATACCCTAATGCAAGTTCTGTGGTAGATTATTTGCCCTACAAAATATCTAACATAAAATTAATGAAAAACCTAATCATATTAACTGCTTAATCCCACAATTTAATAAATATTTTTTCTAAATAATACTTCAAAGATAGTTTAGTAGTAATCTAATTAAAAAATGGTATAAAAAACAAGCTAAAACCATATTTTTTATATTTTTCTATATTAGATTATAAAAAAACCTTTTAATCATTATCAGGAAGTAAGTATTTGAAAAAAGTTATTGCTTTAATCTACTTTTCAAAGCCAATCAATTTAAGTACCTAAGTATTTATTTTAACTAATCTTATATTTACTTTATTGTGCTCTACCCATAAAATTTGATAATAAATAATTGGCATTTTTAATAGATATAAATAACACTCTTGCAATTTTCCATGGAATTATATAAGACTAACAAATTTAAAAGAAATAGTAATTTATTAACAAATTCACACAATTTTCTTTAGAAAACTTTTTTTTAGAAAATATCTTTAGAAAAATTCTTCAGCAGACAATTTGCCATAAAAATTTTACTTCCTAACAAAATTTTTGGGTTGAAAAATTAATTTTAATGAAACTTTTCTGTAGAAAATTTTATTCCACAAATTGTTTTCTAAAAAAGATCACGTTTAAATAAAATTATCTTAAGAAATTATTATTTTCCTATAGAAAAATAACAACTCGTTAAACTTTTCAACGAAAAAATAGGTCCTTTTAAGAGTATGAACTATATTACTATAGAGTAAAAGTTCTTTAGCAGAAAGTATTCCTCAGGAATCTTTCTTTTTCAGAAAATTTTATTTAAAAAACTTTTGTCTAAAATACTTTTTTTCTCTTTTTTTATAGAAAAATAACTTTTATGGTAAGTTTTATATTTAAAACTTTTCTTTACACTATATTTTTATATAAAATGAAAATTTTTCACGAAACTTTTCTTAAGAGAAGTGTTTTTATTACAATTCTATAGAAAAATTAAATCTTTTTACACACTATTTTTACATAAAATGAATATTTCTTTAGAAAACACACTTTTCTCTGCAATTTCATTAGAATAGTTTCATCAGCAGCTACTTCTCTATAAAATATTTAATTAATTTTTAAATTTTCTATAGGAAAAAATACATTAATGGAAAGTTTTTATATAAAACTATAATTCACATTAAATATTTTTTTAATAAAACGAAACTTGTCTTTATTTTGTGATGAGTTTTTTAAAACAATTCACTTCACGTAAAAATTTTCCATAATCTGTAAATTACTTACTTTATCTTCCAATTTTTTTTTATAGAAAAATAACTTTCATGGAATCTTTTCTATAGAAAACTTTGTTCACCAAAATACTTTTCTAAGAAAAACTTCATTGTCAAGAGTTTTTTTTTCTATTTTTCAATAGAAAAACTATTTTTTTCTTTACAATTATTAAGAGAAAATGAGACTTAAAAAAGCTTTTCTATATAAAACATAATTCTATTTAAAATTAATTCTTAAAATTAATTAAGAATATTAGTTGAATTATCAACTTGCCTTAAAAAATTTTATCTTCACGTTTTTTTTTTTTCTAATTTTCAATAGAAGAGCAAAAGTTTCTTAAAAAGAATATAGGTAGTTTCTTATTTTAATAGAAAAACGTTTTTGTTTTCAATTATTTAGAGAACATAAACAAATTCTAAGGATTACTGTTTAATTTTTACAAAAATGTGAAAATTTTTGTTTAATGTTAAGTTCTTATATTAATTTTGTGATAATTTCTGCAAAAAAATATCGAAAATTTATTCAAAATTATAATTTTTAATGAAATCCCATTGTTTTAAAATATTTCTGAAATAAGGGTAACTCTAACCATTTTGCAAACACAGCCAGGCATGGAAAATTTAATAATTTATTACTTTTTTCAGTATTTTTCACGATGTATTCGCGATATTTTCGTTATTTTTCTTTAGTTTAGTCTAATTTATATAGCTTAGTCTATAGTTTATTTTATTAGACTAGTCTATAGACAAATCTGTAGTTTAGTCTTTAGTCTACTTCATAGTTTACTTTATAATCTAGTCTACAATCTAGTCCATAGAAGAGTCTATGGCCTAGTCTATATTCTAGCCTATAGCCTTATCTAGTCTTTAGTTTAGTATATAGTCTAGCCTATAGCCTTATCTAGTCTATAATCTACAGTTTAGAGTATAGTTTAGTCAACAGCCTAGGCTATAGTTTAGTCTATAGAGAAATCTATAATCTAGTCTATAGTGTAGTCTAAAGTCTAGTCTATAATCTAGTCGATAGTCTAGTCTATTATTAATTTAGTTTGTACTTCAAAACCTAAACAAGTACCATTTTTGTTAACTTAGTATTATTTGAAATTTGCAATTTTCCAAGCCTGGCACATAGTAGTATAATTGTAGTTGTTTACGCTACACTCCACACCCTTTTTTAACGGAAATTTTATTAACACGATTTCCTTCTCTGTTATCAGTTACTCACTGTTAAGTCAGTCAAGTTTAACAGTGTTAAAGTTTAGTCATCTCTGGTGAAAACAAGTTTTAAGCAAAAAGAAAAAAAATCGTAAAATTTTTTTAAACCGGTTGGTGTTAAAGTTCTTAAAAAGTAATTTAGTTTTTTTTTTTACGAAAACTTACCATATTTAATGTGTTTTTTGTGTTTAAAAGGGTTTAATTAAAAAAATTTAAAGCTGTTGTTGTTGTTGGTAGTTAAATCCTTTACTGGAGAATTTTGTAAACTACTGCTGTTGTTTGTTGTTGGGTTTTAGTTAAAATTAAAAAATGCTTGCGTTTTTTTAAGTCTTTTACGGCCTTTAAGTGCTCCACACCTTTGCTAACAGTCTTACAAATAAAAACTGTTGAAATTAGTTAAACAAATTTTTTCTTTAAGTTTTTTTTTTTTTTTTGGCGAACGCACAACAACAAAAAAGAGAAAACAATAAAAAAGTAATAATTTTTATAATGTAGCTTTTTCCCAAGAAAAAAAAAACGCCAATTTTTTTTTTATTAAATTTAGCGGTTTTAACACGTATGTAGGGAAAAGCAAAGAAAACGAGATATAAAAAATTGAAAAGAGAGAGAACTCTATAATACTCTCTTCAGAAAAAAGAGCATATTTTTGCTAAAATTTTTAAACCGTTTGGTGATTTCCTTTTGCTGTTTTTGGGAAATTTACTTTGCAACAACTACAAACACGAGCCACAGGAAAAAAAAAATCGTAAAAGTACACCACCATTAATTTTGGCTGCTGTTACTAAAAGCCAGAAAAATCAATATAAAAAAAACTTTTTAAATAAAAATTTCTTTAAATTTCACCAAACAAACAGAAAAAAAAAATCACCACAAAGCCACACTTTTCGGTTTTTAAAAGCCTCTTTACACAGCGAAAAAAAAAACTTAAAGAAAAAATCCCCAAAATTCTAACAATTTCTTTAAAAAGCCAGAAATTTTAAACCGTAAGTATATTTTCTACTTTTTTTTCTTTTATAATTTATATATTTTTTTTAAACAAAAGTTTATTTTCTCTTTAATAATAACTTATTTTAAAAAACTTTTCTTAATTACAATTTTTTTCTATGGATGTGTGTAAAACTTTTCCAATTTGGTTTTTTTTTTACTTCAGTATTTTATTTTTTATATATATATATAATTTTTTACAATCTTAAAAAAGAACTTAAACGTGAGAACTCGCTAATAATTCAAGTCCGCCACGGTCAACAACTCAATTGCAACTGAGCTGTTTTCTGTACGACTCTTCTATGTTTAGCTGTCGAATTTTTTTTCTTCGCTTTTCTATATTCTTCATTTAACTTTTTCATTATTGTTTTCCTGCTGCTTGTTCTTCTTTATGTGCTTTTAGCTCTTCTTCTTTTTATTATTTTGTATTTCATATCATCATTCCTTTATTTCACTGCTGTTTCCATTACTTTTTTTTCTGTCTGCTTTTGCTTTGCTCTGTTAATTTTTCTACTCTATTATAGCCGTTTTTTGTTGTTGTTGTAAAACATGCGTTTTCTGTAAAATTTCCCCTTTGTACAGCTTTTTCTTAACCGTTTCGCTCTCTTCTCTTTCGTATGTTTTTTTATACACTTTGTTGCCATTTTGGCAACCACCACCACCTGGTGGCTGTAAACGAGCTGCCATATGTTTTAATGAAATTTTAAAGGGATTGAAATATATTAAAAATTCCAATTGGAAATTTAAAAGCTATTCTACACACTGTAAAGTAGGGTTCTATAGTTGAAACGCAATGTCGACTTTTCGGCTTTTTTCATTTAGTTAAAAGTCGACTTTTCGACTTTTTGCATTTTATGAAAAGTCGATTTTTCGACTTTTTTCATTTAATTAAAAGTCGACTTTTAGATTCTTCGACTATAAGTATTTTATAAATAGTCGACTTTTTTCCGACTTTACGATTTTTTCGACTATTTTCGACTTTTTTCCGACTATTTTTTGACTTTTTTCGAGTTTTTCCGACTATTTTAGAGTTTTTGACTTTTTTTCCACTTTTTTAAAATTTTCGACTATTGTTGACTTGTTTCTACAATTTTAGAGTTTTCGACTTTTTACGACTCCTTTCGACTTTTTCCGACTTTTCGACTTTTTTCGACTTTTCGACTATTTACGACTTTTCGACTTTTTTCGACTTATCGACCTTTTTCGACTTTTCGACTTTTTTCGACTTTTATTAACAAAGTCGACTTTTTTCACAGACGATAGTCGAGTTATTGACTTTTTTGGAACAAAATAGTCGACTTCGACTTTTCGAATTTTTCGACAAAAAGTCGATTGTTCGATTATTCGAAAGCCGATTTATAGAACCCTACTGTAAAGTAGACCAGATAAGAATATACATATGTATATAGCCATCGTTAGACCAGAATATAGCCGTAACTAAAGGCTAAGTTGTAGAACAGATTAGAGACTAATCTTCAGTCTGGGCTATAATCAGAACTATTGATAAGTCTAATATATAGCCTAGTCAATAGTCTGAACTATCTATCTAATGTGGACTATACTGTAGTCTATAGTCAAATACATAGTCTTTGTAATCTGCTCTACAGTTTAGTCAATCCTTTAGCCTATAGTTAAGATTATAACTTGACCTAAAATCTACTTTTTATAGCCTAGTCCATAGTCATGTCTAGTCAGCTTTCTATTCTATAGTATGGGCTTTCGTTGCGTCTATAGACTAGACTATAGCTTAGCCTATAATATGAACCACAGTTTAGCACAAATTCTAATCGATCTAATACGGTTGTAGTCTGGACTATAAACTAGACTCCGGTTGTGCTCTACCCTAGTTCTGTTCTAGTTAAATTCTAGTTCTGTTCAAGTTCAGTTCTAGTTCAGTTCTAGTACAGTTCTAGTTCAGTTCTAGTTCGGTTCTATTTCAGTTCTAGTTCAGTTCTAGTTCAGTACTACTTCAGTTCTAGTTCAGTTCTAGTTCAGTTCTAGTTCAGTTCTAGTTCAGTTCTAGTTCAGTTCTAGTTCAGTTCTAGTTCAGTTCTAGTTCAGTTCTAGTTCAGTTCTAGTTCAGTTCTAGTTCAGTTCTAGTTCAGTTCTAATTCAGTTCTAGTTCAGTTCTAGTTCAGTTCTAGTTCAGTTCTAGTTCAGTTCTAGTTCAGTTCTAGTTCAGTTCTAGTTCAGTTCTAGTTCAGTTCTAGTTCAGTTCTAGTTCAGTTCTAGTTCAGTTCTAGTTCAGTTCTAGTTCAGTTCTAGTTCAGTTCTAGTTCAGTTCTAGTTCAGTTCTAGTTCAGTTCTAGTTCAGTTCTAGTTCAGTTCTAGTTCAGTTCTAGTTCAGTTCTAGTTCAGTTCTAGTTTAGTTCTAGTTCAGTTCTAGTTCAGTTCTAGTTCAGTTCTAATTCAGTTCTAGTTGACTTCAAGTTCGGTTCTAGTTCACTTCAACTTCAATTCTAGTTGAGTTATAATTCAGTTCTAACTTTCTTCTAGTCTAGAATATACTCTAGTGTATAATCTGGTCTTTCTATCAAAAGCGTAGTCTACAGTCTAACCTATAGTCTATTTCGGTTTATAGTCTGTAGTCTAGTCTGTATTTAGTCTAGAGTCTAGTCTATAGTCTAGTCTATAGTCTAGTCTATAGTCTAGTCTATAGTATAGTCTAGTATATAGTCTAGTCTATAGTCTAGTCTATTGTCTAGTCTATAGCCTAGTCAATTGCCAAGTCTATAGCCTAGACTGTAGTCTAGTCTATAGTCTAGTCTATAGTCTACTCTATAGTCTAGTCTGTAGTATAGTCTATAGTCTAGTCTATAGTTTAGTCTATAGTCTAGTCTATAATCTAGTCTATAGTCTATTGTCTAGTCTATAGTCTAGTCTGTAGACTAGTGTATAGTCTAATATTATAGTGTAGTCTATATATATATAGTCTAGTCTTTAGTCTGGTCTATATTCTAATCTATAGCCTAGTCTATATTCTAGTCTGTATTCTATATTTTAGTCTATAGTCTAGTCTACGGTTTGTGATGAGTCTAGTCTATAGTCTAGTCTATAATCCAGTCTATAGTCTAGTCTGTAGTATAGTCTAGTCTATAGTTTAGTCTATAATCTAGTATATAGTCTGGTTTATTGTCTAGTCTATAGTCTAGTCTGTAGACTAGTGTATAGTCTATTCTATAGTGTAGTCTTTATATAGTCTAGTCTTTAGTCTGGTTTATATTCTAATCTATAGCCTAGTCTATATTCTAGTCTATATTTCAGTCTATAGCCTAGTCTACGGTTTGTGTTGAGTCTATAGTCTAATCTAAAGTCTTTAGTCTCCTTACTCGCTTATTAGTTCCCAGCCTTATTCGCAACATAACTATCGAAAAAAATCAGACCATCTGGCAACATTCCATGCCAACATAGTTTGTCTGCAAAAATAGTACAAAGTATCTCTGCTGTATGTCGTATTGCTGTTTAAATAAGTTGTACAACACAATAACAAAAAGAGGTATACAAAAAAACTCCCCTAATTATGCTAAATCGAAAAAAAAATATATACAAAAAAACCTCAACAACTAGTAAAATATTTCTCCGTATTGTCTGCATTTCTGCACATAACACAGCAATAACAACAAAACCTGGTGTGTAATGCTTTCTTTGGCAAATTGCAAAAAAAAAGTGTAGAAAAAAAATCACATACTAAAAACCAAAATAAAAAGAAACTATGCGAAAAAATGTGCAAGAAATAAAAAAAAGAAGAAAAAAACGGAAGAAACGAAACATTTTCACGTACATTTTTTTTAATAACTTTGATCAACATGTACGAAACAGAGAGAATGTTTATCGATGATGATGATGACGATGATACGAGTGATAAATACACTTTCGTACAAACAAATAAACATGAACGAATTTAAACGAAACCAACAACCACTGACTGATTTTTGTTGCTTTATGTTTGTGTTTTGTTTGTTGGTGTGTGCAAAACATTGTTGATGAAAAAATGCGCAATATAGAACAGGGGCGAAAAGAGGAACTGGTTTAGGTATGTATAAGAACAAATGTAGTGTTTATTAGACGGCGTCCATTTTAATTAATAAAACTAATTTTATACTGTAAAAGTAATGATGTTTTGCTGTGCACCCTTAATGTTCATAATCATAACGTTATAAATTATGTTTATGATGTTTTAAAACTGAAATAAACTAAAATATTCAATTGACTCCAACTAACACCACTTGACCAGGTAAATACTTGTTTTCATTATTAAATGTTTCTCTAATCTCTGCAAAACCAGAGAGCTAAGAGAGCCATCATGTAAACAAACGGAAAATTTAAAAAAAAAATTCATTGATAACATTTCTTCTGCATTATTGATTGATAGGTGTGGTGGACATTCGTGAGTGTGTTTGTATCGCTAAGAATTATCATAAAAACATACTTTATACTAAAATGTTATCAATTGAAACGGTTTAGTCTTAATGTGATATTGCACACTTGTTGTACTCAATAAAAAAACAAATTACTTCAAAAATTAAAAATGATCAGGTAAAATGGACTTTGTATTTAACCCTTTTTAGGGAAGGATGGGTGCCTTAAAATATAGACTACTACGACCTAGGACATACCATAATATTGATTATAGACTAAACTTTATTCCAGACTATAGACTAGACTATAGACTAGACATAGACTAGAACATAGACTAGACAATACAGTAGACTATAGACTAGACTATAGATTAGACTATAGACTAGACTACAGACTAGACTATAGACTAGACTATAGACTAGACTATAGACTAGACTATAGAATAGACTATAGACTAGACTATAGACTAGACTATAGACTAGACTATAGACTAGACTATAGAATAGACTATATACTAGACTATAGACTAGACTATAGAATAGACTAGACTAGACTATAGACTAGACTAGACTATAGACTAGACTATAGACTAGACTATAGACTAGACTATAGACTAGACTATAGACTAGACTATAGACCAGACTGTAGACTACACTATAGACTAGATTATATACTAGACTATAGACTAGACTATAGACTAGACTATAGACTAGACTATCGACTTGACTATAAACTAGACTATAGATTAGACTATACACAAGACTATAAACTAGAATATAGACTAGACCTGTAGACTAGACTATAGACTACTATATACTATAAACTAGACTATTGACTAGACTCTAGACTAGATTATTGACTAGTCTATAGACTAGACTATAGACTAGACTGTAGACTAGTCTATAGACTAGGCTATAAACAAGTCTATAGACTAGAATATAGACTAGACTATA